TGCATGTTTATTGAGAAAACTTGTTCATTCTTGAGCAGCCATATCTGCCTAATGAGACACCTGTGGGACTAAAAGCTTTAAGGGAGAAAGAGCTTAGAGATTTGAGGGGTGATGGAACTGGAGTTAGAAAATTGTCGGATAGGATATATGATTTCGACGTTTATAATGATCTTGGCAACCCTGATAAGGGGATCGATTTTGCTCGTCCGAAACTAGGTGGCAAAAGTATTCCTTATCCAAGGCGTTGCCGTACTGGTCGTGTTCCAACGGACACTGGTCAGTCTCTTGCTTTTTCCACATTGTTACTGCAATGTTGTGAATATGATGTCTTGTTTTAATGCCACCTGACACTGTTTTCATTTCTGTCCAAAAGATATACATGCTGAGAGCAGAGTGGAGAAGCCATCGCCAATGTATGTGCCGAGAGATGAGCAATTCGAGGAATCTAAGCGGGATGCATTCTCCACTGGAAGGCTTAAAGCTGTTCTCCACAACTTACTCCCGGGGTTGCAGGCTAAGATCTCGGAGAAAAACGTTGACCTCAAAGGATACCAAGACCTTGATAAACTTTATAGTGAAGGGCTCCTTTTGAAACTCGGGATTAAGGATGATGTCTTGAACAAACTCAAACTCCCAAAAATTGTCACCAAGTTCAAAGATGGAGACCTCCTCAAATTCGACATTCCTAAGATCATATCAAGTAAAACTCATTTCTTAGCTATTCCTATACTCTGCCCCTTTGTTGTTGTACAAAATTTTGGATGAAACCGATATACTTCTGAATTCAGTTGAGGGCCGAACAAAAAAATTGAGAAACCAAAACCACCCAAAGCTGAAATAGGCAAAACCGACCAATCTGTTGGTGCTTACACATACAACAGGAGATTTTCGTTTCAAAAACCAATCGGACCAACCAAAACACACAAAATCCGACCAAAACCGACACAAAATGACTAAAAGTTCCAAATTAAAACTGACCTTATATACTTGGTTCAGATACCAGTTTTATGAAAACCGACTAGAACCATGAACTACCAAAAACCGGACCCATAAAAACCTCTCATCGGTAGACATTTGGTCCAAGCTTTATTAACACATTATTCTGTCTTCGTTTTTCCAATGTGAGACTATAACAGAAACTCAAAGTTTTAATAGTTTCTGTCAGTCCAAACCAATATACCTTAACGCATCTAGTGTTTACACTAATCATGGACTAATATATGATTATGTAGAGGATAAGCTGGCATGGCTGCGTGATGATGAGTTCGGTAGGCAAGTGCTAGCAGGAATTAATCCTGTTTCCGTTGAGAGGCTAACGGTTTTTCCTCCCGTGAGCAAGCTTGACCCACAAGTCTACGGCTCCTTGGACTCTGCCCTCAAAGAAGAACACATTCTTGGATATCTCAATGGCATGTCTGTACATGAGGTAATCAATCCGAGTTCTGAAAGAAACGTCTTTCATCCTTAACATTACGTACTTCCATAACCGTTTTCATTCAATGTTTTCGCCTTTTCGGAAATCAACCAATCTACTAAATATAGGCCATGGAGTCAAACAAGCTGTACATTGTGGATTATCATGACGCCTACCTGCCATTTGTTGACCGTATCAATGCTCTGGACGGTCGTGCAACGTATGCTACTCGCACCATTTTCTTTCTGACTGATATGGGCACCTTGAAACCAATAGCCATTGAGCTTAGCCTGCCGTCAAGCTTTCCGAGCTCGCGGTCCAAGCGCGTGGTCACCCCTCCGGTGGACGGAACCTCTTACTGGATGTGGCAGCTCGCCAAAGCTCACGTCTGTTCCAACGACGCCGGCGTTCATCAACTTGTTCACCACTGGTAAATACATAAAACCTAATTCCTATATCTGGAGTCTGGACAGAATTTATCTTAGGTTTTTCTCTGTAATGCGAGCGGCTTGTTTGGATTCATTCTTATTAGGTTGCGGACACACGCTTCGATGGAGCCTTTTATATTGGCGGCTCACAGGCAGTTGAGCGTGATGCATCCGATCTATAAGCTTCTGGATCCGCACATGAGATACACACTGGAGATAAACGCGCTGGCTCGGCAGGGATTGATCAACGCTGATGGCGTGATCGAGTTGTGCTTCACTCCTGGTCGGTACGCCATGGAGATCAGTGCTGCTGCTTATAAGAACTGGCGATTCGACCTGGAAAATCTCCCTGCTGACTTAATCAGAAGGTAATTTCCTCTTCATACCTCCATTGTTGTAAAAATAAAACCCTAGGTTGTCTAGGCACAATTTCATTTCATCCAGCCTGATGAATTCATGGCTCCATGCCAAGCAGCAGAATGGAATCCCATTATGTTATTTAGAATGAATTCATTACTCAAATGTGACTTCTGAGTTACTTCTGCTACCAGATTTCGTATGAAATTTCAAGTTTAATCTTCTCTAAGTTATAAGATTAGTGTGCTCTAAGAAGGCACTAGCTTGAAGCACATATTTGGTTATCTAATGTTGGCCAAATATAAAGACAGACATTCTTTAAGAATTAAGACTACTCCTTCAATACCCTTTAGGATGAACTCTACATTTCTAAGTTCTTAGTTATGTTTGATGCTGAGGAGTGAGGACTTTCTACAGCAATGCAGTTGGACATAATTTAGTTCATTTCCTTTTTTTGTTTTTGAAATTTTGCAGAGGAGTAGCAGTGGCAGACTCAACACAGCCTCATGGAGTTAAGCTGCTGATTGAGGACTATCCATACGCGGCAGATGGGCTTTTGATTTGGGGTGCGATCGAGAATTGGGTGAAAACATATGTGAACCACTACTACGCGGACTCGGACGCAGTGTGCAATGACAGGGAGCTTCAGGCATGGTATGCGGAGTCGATCAATGTGGGGCACGCTGATCTTCGTCATGCGGAGTGGTGGCCAACTCTAGCCACGCCACATGACCTCATCTCCATTTTGACGACCATCATCTGGCTATCGTCTGCCCAACATGCTGCTCTCAACTTCGGGCAGTACTCATATGGTGGGTACATCCCGAATAGGCCAACCCTCATGCGTAGGTTAATCCCCGAAGAGAACGACCCTGAGTATGCCGTTTTCACAGCGGACCCGCAGAAGTACTTCTTCTCTTCGCTGCCGAGCTTGTTGCAGGCTACTAAACTCATGGCTGTGGTGGACACATTGTCAACTCATTCCCCTGATGAGGAATACCTTGGGGAAAGGCCTCAACAGTCGACGTGGACGGGAGATAGGGGGATGGTCAATGCATTCTATGACTTCTCGGCTGAAATTCAAGAGGCTGAGAAGGAAATCGAGAGGCGGAATGAAGATGCCAGTTTGAGGAACAGGTGTGGTGCAGGGGTGATACCCTATGAGCTTCTTGCTCCTAGCTCTTCTCATGGTGTGACATGTAGAGGTGTTCCCAACAGTGTGTCAATATGATATCTGAATAATTGAAGACTTATAAGTTTGTGCATGGCCGGCAGTTGAATATGTGTATGCATAAACGAATTGCACTTTTCCAGCTATTCCTCGAAGAAATATGGAATTACTAATGTAGATCAATTAATATATACTATGTATTACAATTAGTTGATATAATTTAAACATAGAGAAGTGATAAAATGGAAACATGAATCAATGAAGCATATCCTTCCTACAATATTGCCACTTTTACTTGGTTAAAATCGGAAATTTAAATAACCACTATCAAACACATTCATTATTTGACATGTATCAACTATCAACCAACTTCTTAAAAAAACTATCAACCAACTTTTGCCATTTTGGCCGTCAATTGACCTAATTGTGCACACCTCTAATGGTAGAGACGTCGAATGAGCATGAAATCACTATTGTAGTTTTAGTTACTCTTCGTTCCATAAAATTCTTTTTTATTGTGCGCGGTCTTTCTTAACATTTGGAAAGAAAATCATGCATAACGGACACATGCAAATAACCGGACATATGCACATATTTTTACCTTATTTGTTTTGTAATTATTGTATTTATTTTCTTTCCTAGAATAGAGTGTGCGTTAGTGGACTAGCTTTATGGCAGGTGATCTTTACCTTTTTGACATGTATTAAGGTGTATATATATTGACTTCTCCCTGTACGTAAAAGACACGAAGCAATATAATACTAATAAACTTTCTTCTCAATTATTTAGTACGAAACCTTTTCTCATGGTATCAGAGCCACACGTTCTCTGAGACCTGCGTTTTTGCTGTGCGACGAAACAAATGGGTGAGCCTATCACCAAGACAACCAACGACGGAACTATGGACGACGACAACAATTCTGTTCCTAAGCAGTATAGGCGCAGAATAAATGATCCGGCATCCCTCTTTTATTTACCGACCAATGACATTCCAGGCGTGAATATCTGCGGCATAACGCTCAAAGGGGACGGGAATTACCGGGAATGGTCAACCGCCATGCGCAATGCCTTTAGAGCGAAAAGGAAGCTTCCTTTTCTTGACGGGACGATTGAGATACCGGATGATGAACACGGGCGGGACGATTGGCTGTGTGTGAACTCCATGTTGGTTGGATGGTTGATGACGTCCATCGATGCCTCTCTACGAACGACCATCGCTTACATGGACTCTGCTCAAGATCTATGGGAGGATCTCAAACTCCGCTTCGAGGTGGCTGACGGCGTACGTTTTCACGAACTGAAAGAAGCCATTCAATCATGCCGACAAGGAGACCAAACAGTGACAGAATATTTTGGCCGCCTGAGAATGCTTTGGGATGACTTTGATGGATATCGTATGATACCCAAGTGTAAGTGTGGAGGATGCAAATGTGATTTGGAGAAACAATTTCTGGCGGCAGTGGAGAAAGAAAAGGTGCATGAATTCTTAATGGGTTTGAACGGTGCTACGTATGGCGGACTTCGGTCTAACATTCTTAGAGAATCCAATCTGCCGTCCCTCAGTCGAGTGTATCATATGATGATACAAGAAGAGCGGCACAAGAATGTGACGAGGATGCATGACGCCAAAACCGAGGTTGCCGCCTTTGCCGTTCGGTTGGATGACCGGAGGAAGCCCAACAAAGAAAAGATGTTTTGTTCCTTCTGTAAAAAGGACGGACATGAAAGAAATAATTGTTTTAAGCTAACCGGAGAATATCCTGAATGGTGGTTCGCTAACAAAGAAGGAAAGGGACGTGGAAAGCCTCCTGGACCTGTGACTGGGCGTGACAAAAACGGTGGTGCAAAGGGAGCACGTGCGCATGCTGTTTTGCATGAAGAAGTGCCGGCAGAAGAAAACAAAAATGAAAAACCGGATTTTACTTCCCTGGCAGAACAATGGGCATCATTTTTAGCATTTATGAACAATTCCAAAAAGACAGGTGACACAATTGAGAAATTAGCAGGTACCGAAAATTTGGACTCTTGGCTTCTTGATACGGGAGCCTCATATCATATGACGGGGGATCACTATATGTTATTTGATTTACAGAAAATTTCTTCCTCTCCGGTTGTTCTACCAAATGGGGAGAAAACCGAGGCTACACATATAGGTCGTGTAATTTTAGGACCGGAAATGACATTAAAAGATGTCCTCTACGTTCCTAAACTTATGTGTAATCTTATCTCGGTAGGGAAGCTTATTGAACAATTGTCATGTCATGTGCTATTTACTGACAGGTTTTGTGTGATACAGGACCACACTTTGAAGACGCAGATTGGACTGGGTGAACGTCGGGGTGGGGTCTACTATTTATGTGGAACTGGTAGTGCACGTGCTTCCTATGTGGGAGGCTTGGATGAAGTTGATTTGTGGCATCAACGATTGGGTCATCCGTCCCTAAGAGTGGTTCGTTTGCTTCCGGTTTCGTTCAAGAATTCTAGTTATATGAATAAGACTTGTGATGTTTGCATGAAAGCCAAACAAACAAGGGACTCTTTTCCTATTAGTTCGAATCGTGCTTTGAATAAATTTGATTTAATTCATTGTGATGTTTGGGGACCTTATCGTGAATCTAGTACATGTGGATCACATTATTTTCTGACCATTGTTGACGATTATTCTCGGGCAGTTTGGGTGCATTTGATGTCCGAGAAAAGTGAAGTTCCACAGATTATTATGAAATTTTTCTCTATGGTTAGAACTCAGTTTCATACAACAGTTAAAATTGTGAGGGCCGATAACGGCACAGAATTTTTCCCGTTACGACCTTATTTTCATAATACGGGCATTCTATTTCAGACTTCGTGTGTTGGTACACCCCAACAAAATGGTCGTGTTGAACGAAAGCATCGACACATTCTCAATGTTGCCCGAGCTCTTCGTTTTCAAGCAAATTTGCCTATCAAATTTTGGGGAGAATGTGTTCTGGCGGCATCCTATCTAATTAATCGCACTCCCTCTATTTTGAATCATGAAAAATCACCTTATGAAATGTTGTATGGTACTCGACCCTCCTATGACCATATTCGTACATTTGGGTGTCTATGTTACGTTGCTTCTCGATCTAGAGATAAATTTCATCATCGTGGTCGTGCATGTCTATTTTTGGGATATTCTTACACGCAACGTGGGTGGAAGGTAATGGACCTGGAAACCGAGACTCATTTTGTTTCCCGAGATGTTCACTTTGTGGAAGATATTTTTCCTTTTCTGGCCAAGACAAATTCAGCTCGTGATGTGCCCTCTGCCTTATCTTTATCTGATCTGCCCCTACTGTATAGGGAGGATGAATCCTCTCAAGATGCTGCCATGCATAATTCCAGCACGCCACCTGTCTCTACTCACCATCATGAGGAGGTCCCACAAGCATCCTCCACTAATCAGCCGGTTTCTCCTCCAAATAATTCGGACGTGCACACAGCAGATCAATTACCGCCACCTAATTCACCAGCAGGATCCACGTCAGCAGCTCCCCTCGGTCGTGGACATCGACGTAAGGCTCCTTCTGTACGCCTACGTGACTATGTCCAGCTCCATGCAGCCCAACTTAACCCCCCCGGCGTTGCCCATCCTGCTTCGTCTTCAGGTAGTCCCTATCCGCTTACTTGTTATGTAAATTATGACAAATTTTCTTTGCACCACCGGGCCTTTCTTGCAGCTATATCTCATGAAAAGGAACCAACTTCTTATAAAGAAGCGGTACGTGATCCACGATGGCGTCAAGCAATGCAACTTGAAATCGATGCTCTTGAACGTAATGGTACGTGGACGCTTGTTGATACTCCCACTCCCAAACGACCAATTCATTGTAAATGGGTTTATCGCATAAAATATAATAGCTCAGGTTCTATTGAACGGTTCAAAGCGCGGCTCGTTATTTGTGGCAATCGTCAAATTGAGGGAATTGATTATCATGAGACATTTGCTCCCGTTGCCAAAATGACCACTGTTCGTACTCTTCTTGCCGTTGCCGCAACTAAACATTGGCAACTCCATCAAATGGATGTTGACAATGCTTTTCTTCATGGCTCTCTTGATGAGGAAGTTTATATGCATTTGCCTCCCGGATTTGTTAGCTCTCGTCCCAACCAAGTTTGTCGTTTACATCGCTCTCTATATGGACTTCGTCAAGCTCCTCGGTGTTGGTTTAATAAACTTAGCACTTCTTTAATTGCTTATGGATTTCAGCGTTCCTATGCCGATTATTCCTTATTCACATTGACTAAAAATGGCCATTTTATGTGTGTACTTGTTTATGTTGATGATCTTCTTATTGCCGGTTCCCATGTCCCAGCTATTGATCATTTAAAGGCTTATTTGGCTAAATGCTTTCCTATAAAGGATCTTGGGCGCCTCAAATATTTTTTGGGCATAGAAGTGGCTCGAAATGAGTCTGGTATTTTTCTTTGCCAGCGTAAATATGCCCTGGACATTCTTGATGAACTTGGATTGGCGTCTGCGCGGCCTTCTCCTTTTCCTATGGAACAAAATCAAAAACTTTCTCTTTCTCAAAGTCCGTTTATGTCATCGCCGGATCAATATCGCCGTTTAATCGGCAAACTTATCTACTTGACACTCACTCGTCCGGAGCTTAGTTATTCGGTTCATATTCTGGCCCAGTTTATGCAAACTCCGAGGACTGATCACTGGGATGCGGCTATCCGAGTACTTCGGTATTTGAAAGGCAATCCGGGACAAGGTATTCTTCTCAGCGCCCACTCTAGCATCTCTTTACGTGGATTTTGCGACTCCGATTGGGCGGCTTGTCCCTTGACTCGTCGATCACTAACCGGTTATATTGTGATGTTTGGCAATTCCCCTATTTCCTGGAAAACTAAGAAGCAGCTAACAGTCTCTCGTTCTTCCGCTGAGGCTGAATATCGTTCCATGGCCACCTTGGGTTGTGAACTCTTATGGCTCCGCAGTTTATTGTCTTCTCTTGGCATTACTCTCTCTCACCCAATGGACATCTTCTGTGACAACAAAGCTGCTCTCCATATTGCTTCCAATCCTGTATTCCATGAACGCACGAAGCATATTGAAATTGACTGTCACTTTATTCGTGATCTTCTTCAAAATGGTTCACTCCGAGCACATCATCTTTCCTCATCTCACCAGTTAGCCGACATCTTCACCAAACCTCTAGGTGCTCAACAATTTTTGTTTCTTCTTCACAAGTTGGGCGTTCTCGATCCCTCCGCTCCAACTTGAGGGGGGGTGTGCGCGGTCTTTCTTAACATTTGGAAAGAAAATCATGCATAACGGACACATGCAAATAACCGGACATATGCACATATTTTTACCTTATTTGTTTTGTAATTATTGTATTTATTTTCTTTCCTAGAATAGAGTGTGCGTTAGTGGACTAGCTTTATGGCAGGTGATCTTTACCTTTTTGACATGTATTAAGGTGTATATATATTGACTTCTCCCTGTACGTAAAAGACACGAAGCAATATAATACTAATAAACTTTCTTCTCAATTATTTAGTACGAAACCTTTTCTCAGATTTGACTTGGATCAGAGTTTTGAAAAGTGAAAATAAAGTATAATTGTATGATTGTTGTTGAGTAAAAAATAAATGAATATTAACTTCATAGAGCTTTCAAAAAAGGGAAATGAGAAAAATTCCGAGATGCTCTAAAAAGGTAAGTGAAAATAATTTAATTGGACGGAGGCAGTATTATTTAAATGCTTGTTCAATACTCATAAGAGAATAAAGTGAAAAATACACATTAAGAGCATGTTTGATAATCACATTTTTAGTTTATTGCCTTATTAGAAGTAATTTTATGGAATCACATGTGACTCCATTATGGAATCACATGAGTGTTGTGGCATGATCTCTACCATTTATTTTTTAGCGGGGTATCCCACTAAAAAAATAAATTGTAGAGATCATGCCACAACATGCCATGTGACTCCATAAGAGGGTCACATATGGCTCTTTAAAGTTTTTGGTCTTATAATTCACTTTTTATCAAATATGTACAAGTAATTTTTAAATTCGCGCACTAAATTGTGTAATCATCAAAATAAGTACAATTATAAAAAGATAATTTTAATTATTCTTTCATATAATTTTCTTTTTTTAATAAAATTTTAAATATAATTTTTTCGTAATATTTTATAGATTCAGCCAGTGGATTTAATTAATTTCAATATTATCAAACATGATTTAAATCTTTAATCCATGCAATAACCTATGATTTATAAAGACCCTCTAGAATTCTACATCGCTAAGGGGGGGATTTAATTAATCTCAATACCAAAGCCAAACTCAAAGCTATTTTAAGTTATGATTTCCTTTCAAATAAGGTTGAGTTCTTAAGGGAGTAGTTAAGGCTACTTTAATAAAAAAAAAACTGTTAAATGTCCCACACCGGAAAAGTTTGGATGAACAAAGTGTTATATTAACACATGGGCTACTCCTCCTATCAGGTTGATCTTTTATGATGGAACTCCGGATCTTAACATGGTATCAGAGCCAAATCAATCCATGGTGTGGGAGTCCCTTATGAAAAATGATGACACAATTATAAAAACGGCCGGATGAGAAAAAACGGACCGATGAAAAAAAATGAATGATGGCACGATCCAGACGAAGTGTCTGGTCGTGAGGAGGGGTGTTAAATGTCCCACACCGGAAAAGTTTGGATGAACAAAGTGCTATATTAACACACGGGCTACTCCTCCTATCAGGTTGACCTTTAAGGATGGAACTCCAGATCTTAACAAAAACTTTAGATGGGATTTTAAAAATTTAAGTTTTACTGATTCATTGAGAACACAGCTCATCTATTAATCCAATTTAGTTATACTTTGTCATTGCTTTTCCCATTTCCATTCTTCTTCATGCCATTTTCTTCTCCTCTTTCTTTTCAGACGCTAACCGGCCATTCTCCTCGGTTTTTCCATTTTCCACACTAACAATACAATAATGCCAATTGTTTACAATGATTTGATACGGTGACAATGAAGTTTACATGATGACAATTTTGTTGGTGAAAGTTTAGATAATTGGAGTTCACATTGTAACATTTTTTTACTAGTATTTGCATTATTTAACCCAAACAATTTGCTTTTATCATTTTCATTGTTGTGGCTTGTTTTTACTACTTTGACAAAAAATGCTTAATTATGTCTTTATCATTGTTATATGTCCTACATTTGGGACTTAGATTATAGATTAATGAAAAAATGGTGTCAGCTAGTTAGAGCCCCGAGTTGGGGGGTCAAGGGCGGAGGTAAAAGAGTCAACTTAGGTCCCTACTCATCTCAGATTTTTTTCATTTATTAGTGTAAAAAGTGGTGTAAATTTTTGTTAAAAAAATGCTTAATCCATGCTCAAATGTGTCTTAATGACTTCTTCTTAAAAGTTAGAAAACACATACTACGTACTACGTATTACCTGATACGTTAACAAGATGTTCACTACTAATGATATGTTTACTAACATGTTATCTTTTTAATACTACGAGCCCGTTTGGTAGCACGAAAATCGGCTGTTTTGGCTGATTCTGCTGAAATTTATGAAGTTCTGGCTGAAGTAGCTGCTTTGGCTGTTTCTGCTGATTTAAGTAAAAATTATTTTTAAAATATATTTTATTAATAAAATAAAGAAAAAGTTATATGTAAAAATAGCTAAA